TAAAAAAATAATTAAATTCAAAATAATTACAAATAATCAAGAATAATATCATAATTAAAAATAAATATATATATTTAAATAATAATCAAAAATAATTAAATTAAAAAAATATAATAATTAAATTCAAAATAATTCAAAATAATCAGGAATATTATAATTAATTACACAAACTGTTTTCTGGAAAAGAGAGATGAAACAGAAGGATTTTACTGCTCTGTATATTTTTAAATAATTTCACTGTCATGTGCAGATCATATAACAACAATGTTGTAATAAAATAAGGTGTAAAAATCATAATAAAAAAAATCTAAATATATAAAAATATCTGTAAAGAAAGAAGTTTTAATAATACATTTTAAAGATTGTAGAGATTAATTCTCTATTTTTCCTAAGTAGCAAATTGGATAATTTGGGGGGATAACAATAAAATACTCTGTTCCTAATGAATACAAGTGCAACAGACAGACAGGAAACCAGAAGGTTACAAGATAGAGAATAGGAAATTAAAAGTGCTGACATTAAAAGTACTTATAGCCTTAGAGGTACGTATAGAAATCTTAAAATACACACAAAACCTGATGTGATCTCTTGCTCTAGGCCTAGTCAGGATTCTAGCCGCATAAATTTGAACATGCTGATCAAAAAGTTTATTCAGTGTCATTTTTTTTTTAAACCACAGCAAGCCGAGCATTACAGTAATAGATACTTTATGGAAATATTATTTTATAGTTTTTTTGTTTTTGAACGATAAGTATTTTTTAGGTTAAAATACTTTGCTGAATTAAGGTTTTTTTTAGATTCTAGAATCTCTTTCCGTCGATCAAAGCTCTACAGTAGCCACTTTTCCGCCACAAATCGCCTTGTGCTCTGCGGACAAGCCGTAACGTAAACTTCTCCAGCTCGTTATGATCTGAAACAGCGCTCTTCCATGTGACGGATAATTTTTTTGTTTCATCTGAGCTTCAATCCCCCTGCCTGCAGAAAACAAACAAATACTTGTGATTATAACTGATGGCTCGGAAACTGGAGAGCGACTTGTTTATTTTCAGTGAACGAAGCCGAACGCTGGGCACATTTCCTCGTCTTGCCGTTGTGGATGAAGCGAAACGTTGCATTGTAGGTCTGCGTTGTTTCAGTTTTGTTTTAGTTTGAGGGTAATTGCGTTCTCTTAATCAGCAGTGATTAGGAAAGAATGGCTCGTTGGATGACTTCTTTAAGGAATCTAAAACATGGTGTTTGCGTGTCTCGGAAGAATAGTATTTTTGCTTTTTTATTTAAAAAAAATCAGTAAATCAAAGCATTCATTTAAAGTGTGTGTGGGGGGATGTTAAGCAATGTGTTTTTTTATTATATGGGCACACAACATTAACACTGATTTTGTTTATGAATGTGTTCAGAATGTTAGTCTCACACACACACACACACTCACACTATCACGATGCCACTAAGTTCTTTTTAAGAGCATCATCAGATCTCTCTCTCTCTTTCTCTCCATTCCCTTGGCCCTGTGTTACATGCTTCAGTTTCCATCACATAGACTCATATGTACTGTAGCATAGATCTTTTCATCACTCAGAAACAATTACAGTATGACGGAACATAACTGCTCATGGTGCAGCATTATCTCAGCGCATTTTGTGGCTGATTAACCAGTTGTTTGGTGAAAAAGATGCAGGTAAATGTAAATATTAAAGTAATAGTTCAACCAAAAATGAATCTTATACTCATCCTCAAACCTGTATGAGTTTCTTTCTTCTGTTGAACACAAAATAAGATATGTTGGGTACCAAACAGTTGCTGGTAGCCATTTACTTCCTAAAAGAAATGCTATGGAAGTCAATGGCTACCAGCAGCTGTATGTATTTATTTATTTATGATTGATTGATTAAAATATGTTGAGGATTCATTGATGTTGAACAGGGGTGTCAAACTCCATTCCTGGAGGGCCAGAGCCCAGAGTTTTGCTCCTACACACTTACCATGTAGTTTCCAAATAAGCCTGAAGGACTTGATTAGTCTGTTTAATTAGGGGTGAATCTAAACTCTGCAGGGCTCCGGCCATCCAGGAATTGAGTTTGAGGAATACATTCATTTGTATGTATATTATGTCCATGATTTGTCAGAACTAACTGTTCTTGTTTTGATTTTCCCCATATTTTATCTTCTTAATAATTCTTGAACAAATTTGTTTCGTGTTTTAAAATCTCAAATAAAACAACAACAATAATAATAATAATGTTCTAAATCAGTAAAATTGTAATAAGGTTTTTTTTCCCGTCCTTGATTAAGAACTTAGTGAGAATTGACCAACCAACCAACCAACAAATAAATAAATAAGTGTATAACATTCCAATAGAACAAGAAAAAATACAATTATATTAAAGATGCTTTCTCTGGAAACTATTCCTTCTGTTTAAATTTATCAAAATAATACAAAAATAAATGTATCTTGTTTTAAGGATGCTTAGATATTTTTTTTTACTGCAAGCAAGATGATGTTGAGCTCTCAACCTCACATAACGTGTTTATACACCTGAGCTACAATAAAAGGGAAACTGACATTTTACACGAGCGTGTTTGGATAGATTTGACCTTGAAGAAGTGTTTCCTATATTCCTTTGTTGTTTTATCGAGACTTGTAGGAAACAGCTCAATGATAAATGTCCTTGATGTAGATTGTAAGACTGATTTGGATCAGTGGCTATCATTGGAGTTTATTTTTACGATACAAACTTTCCCAGGCACTGTTTGTGATAAAAGTCACATCCTATCTTAGGACACAATCCCGGTCTTGATGACATGAATGGATCGGCGTGAGTGGTAGCTGTGACGACAGGACCGGGGCAGAGGTGGCTGGACTATAGAAGCACCTCTCTTAGATCAGGGTCAGAGGTGAAAGGTCACAAATGGCTGCCTGTATCCTCTCATCAGGTCAGAATGGAAACGGCATTGGATACCATAAAACCGTATCAGGGTCCTATCAGAATGACTGGTTGAAATCCAATAAACGTCAGCCTTGTCCCCAACACACAGCACTGATCGTTAAGGCTTTTTGATTGGGATCATTGCTTCCTTTAAAGAATAATGCCCTTTTCTCTCCCATCGAACATGCATTTATCTTTGTAAGTGATTCTAGTACATGTGCAGGCTTTCTACTAAACTTTAGCTAGTTGAATGGTTAAAAAAAATAAAATTCTCATTTATTCCTCCATCCTGTCCCTTCAACTTATTTTCCTTTCTTATTCCACCATATTCCGTAAACACTGTGTACAGCGCACAGTCAATTCCTAAATGAGTTATTCATTCCAAATTTAGAGAAGTATAAAAAAGAAACAAATAAATGTCCCATCTCTGCACATTTTTAAGCTTTATTTGAACTACTTACTTGAAAGTGTAACGTGTAAAAGTTTAGGAGAGCAGGGACTAACCAGACTCCGCTTTCTGTCTGAAGACTGATTTAACTGAATATAGGTACACAAATATTTGAATGCTGGAGATACCAGAGTAAAATGCATCTAATCTGGGAATTAACAGCTGTACATGTGAAAAAAGCCTCATTTAGAGTTATTTGCATTTTAAATTCTTTTGGTTTATTTTGGTCTCCGCCTCACTTTTCTTCATCTCCCATAGGATGCTGAAATATTTCCTTCTTTATACTGTAAGCAAGTACATTTGCCCGGATTCATTTTCATTTATGACCCTAGGAATGGGCAGGGGATTAAAAATAAATCATCATCATGAAACTATTGTTTGTGTTGCACCTCAACCTAGACGCACTCTCTGTTGACCGAAACAAATGAGACATAAGGGTCGCAGAGTTACGCTCCTGTCTCCCTGAGACAGTCTCTCTGTGAAAAGAGCCCTCGAGAATACACGAGCAACTTTGTACATACTCATGTTATTATTATTCTTGAGACGATCACAGGAAAGTGTTGAAAGGTTGGCGCAGCTGTGAAAAACGTCAGTGATTCGCTTTTTCTCCTAGGCTTGTTAAACATCACTGAAAGCTGTGGTTTCTGCAGTTGTTTAGACTAACACCTTTTACAGCAACCGGGTGAGACCTGTTAAAGTTTGTGAGCGGTGTGCTTGTTTAAATGCAATCTCTTGAATTGAGGATAGGATTTAAACATGTTAGATGACCGTTTTGGTTTCTTCCTCCCTCCCCACAGTGATCCCTTCTTCTGAACAGTTTGATGAAACTCCTCTAGCATCTGTGGAGGATACAAATAAAATTCCCACCAAATCTCACCAAAGCATGTGTTGTTTGATAGCATTTTGTGTTGGAAATTAAATTAAAATGACACTTTTCTGAACTGAAATGAGGCCTTTGTATTGCTTAGGCTAATTAAGTTAAGCATACCAAATACATTTCAAGTACATAATAATTTTACATTACACTTTGACAAAATTAGAGCCATGACAGTTTTAAAACTCTGCTAGTTTCACCTTCATTATTCTTTTTCACATTTCTCAAGCATGCTTTTCACTTATACTGCACTAACTTGAAAAACTATTAAAATAAAAATTTTCAGTGTGGGATTTTATTTATTTATTTATTTTTATTATTTTTTTCTATAAATTAATATAGGTTTCTCTCTCTGGAATGCTCGATTCTGATTTGTCAATCACATCGACCTGCATATACAATTATATGGTCACTAAACTATTTATGAATTTTCCCCCTAACACCCAGTTTCTTACACTGTGCTAGTTCCATGTCTCTCTTATCACAAGGAACTTTCTTTCTTCTCAAATCATTTAATCAGTATTTCAAGTTTATTCATTTATTCAGTGATCAATGGGGTAGTATAGTATACAGTCATTCAGTTATTATTACAAAATAAACCCTGACAGAATGATACTGAAACTTGATGTCGGGGTTCATTTTAATCCTTCAGTATCACTGACATGTGGATGTTTATTCTGATGAAACCCAACCTTCTCTTCTCTGCCTGTTGTATTAATTCCAAGAGTAAAGTCTCTTTTATTTCTCTCCACAGGAGTGGCAGAATTCCATCCAGAAGAACGCGGGCTTGGCCTTCATCGAGCTTGTGAACGAGGGCAGGTAATTATCTAATCCCGTCCTCTGACCCTTTGCTAGCAGCCTCCTCATTATCTCCCGGCCTACAACGCTCCGCGTGTACGATCAGATTCTGTTTGGGAGGAAATCAATGTAATGTGGAAAGGGGATCACCAGGGTGACCTGGAGTTCAAGGCGTCTGTCAATAACTTGGCTTGTTCCCGTGGGTTCCCATGTGTTTCTGAGAGGGCAGCAGCACCTTAGTTTCTCGCCCAACTCTTGGGAAATCTTTCTCGTATCTTGCTGTTTTCAGACGGGTTTTTGTATCATCTGTTGGACTCTTTTACTCGGACTTCCTTTGGGATGGAAGGATCTGTCTTCAATTTCAAGCCCTTAGATCTTTCAGATGGCTCTCATTTTTATGTTAGCAATGGAAATTCATGTTAATGAATGCTGCCGTGCTGATGAGTGCTCCAGAAATGCTAATGAATGCAGTGATGCACTGAGGCTCCTCCACCTTCACTGCTGGCCATCTTTACAGCTTTTTCAAACATACAGCAGGGTCAGGGTTGAGACAACATCTGGGACACCAGCACCTGACACCAGCATAGAGATATCAGTGCAATCATTGCTATAAAAGTGCACATCAAATATGTCATTATAATGGCTACTTTCAATACTGGAGTTTGTAACATTGTTTGAATTCTAACCTAGCCCAAAGAAAAGAACTAAAGCGAGAACTATTGCAGTGCAGTGATTATATTAGGTGATAATTCCATTATACTTGGATGGATCAATTATGTGATTCTCATGTTTTCGTCCATATTCCTTAATTTATTCAAAAATGCATTAAAAAATGTGCTTTAAACATACAATGACCTGCAACACCTCTTTAAATTTTATAAAATAATGTTATAATTATAATTTTTTTAAGTTTTTGAGCGTAAAGTAAAAAAGTTATTTTTTTGTTGTTTTTTTTCCTCAAAGACAAGGGAACGTTAGGTCGGGTTGCAAAATGTCATGTGGTGCAACTCACCAATAATAATAATAATAATAAATTTTATTTATAATGTACTTTTCTCATACCCACAATGTTACAAACAGTAAAAACAACTAAAACTATAAAAATAAATAATACTGTACAAAAATACGGTAAAAGCTAACTACACCCTATTGAAAAGCTAATCAAATTAATCAAGATGAGCTATTTTAAAAAGATTACACCGTTTCTTGAAAGTGCTTAATGCGAATGAGAAGGTATGTACGGGGTAACCAAGTCACAAAAGCCATTCCATGTACAACTTTATATTTTAGAGTGAGAGTTTTAAAATCAGTGAGCAATTGAACTGGAAGCCAATGCAAATTACGCAGCACATCTGTAATAATGTGATTGTCACGCTCACCAGCTGGAGTGCCCTTGATAGCCTTCGTGTCCCCATGCAGTTTTATCCAGCAGTTGAGTTAGTAGGCAGCAAGCTCCGGTGCACAAGTTGCTTGATAGACTGCATATTCCAGCATGCCATACACTGAGGATCGCGAGCCCAGTGTTTGTAGTGTCTTCCACTCCAGAGCCTCGACCCATCATGGCCGCCAGTCCAGAGACTTCAGCCGTCATAGATGCCACGCCAGTGTTCCCGAGACTGATGTCCAGTGTGGCGGACCCACCGCTGATGTCGCTGCAAGCGGCAGACATCCCAGTGGCCTCAGGTTTCCTCAAGCCCAGCGTTTTCAGAGGTTCTACAACCCTCCACTGCCCTTCAAGTAATGGCGATGACCATTTTGGGCTGCACATTGCTCTCTGGCCCATAAGTCTTCTCCAGAGCCCACTCCAGTCCATGAATCCACTCTAGAGCCCTCTCCAGTCCATGAGCCCACTCCAGAGCCCGCTCAAGCCCCAGAGCTCAGTTCTGTGTTGGTGCCAGCCTGTGAGTTCCCTGCCTGTCCTGTCATGGCCAAGAAAGTCATTCCTGAACTCTCTGAATGTCCCGTTATGGCCACAGGGGCCATTTCTAAACCTCTCTGAGCCCTCTATCGTTACGTCTGCTCTGCCTTGGTGGCCTTCAGATCCACCGTGGTGGGTTCCAGTTCTGTCTGAGTCATCTTGGTGGTCCTCTTCACCATCAGCTCCGCTGAAGTGGTCCTCCACTCAATCGGCCCCACTGTGGGGATCTTTGGTCCCGCTTGCTCCACCTTTGTGGTCTTCTGCTCCACCCAGGCTTCCAGCTCCGCCGCCCCCACCCTGGTCACCTTCAACTCCACTCTGGCTCCCCTTTTAACCTCAATCTTCAGTCCTTCTTCCTGTCCATGGGCCTGGCCCTCCATCTCTCCCCGTGTTCCACCTCCCTCCTGGACTTAAGTCTGTTCATGTTTTTGGAGCGTCTGGAAGCCGCTCCTTAAGGGGGGTACTATGTCACGATCACCTTTAAAGGTCAGAAGCTATAACTTACATGAAAAAAAAATCACAAACTTCACACTTGTAAATTAAATAGTTTTATATATACAAATTTATTAATTAATGTGTAATATGTTTTATTTTTTAAACAAATCATAAGCTGTAAAAGATTTAAAGAATTTTTACAACTCTTTTGCTTTAGACAAATGTTAAAACTTAAAATAAAATGTTAGGGTTAACACTGCGTCTTTCTGGGGAAAAAATGCAGCGATTGATATATATATATATATATATATATATATATATATTTATTTATTTATAGTTATTTTCAAAGCTTCGAGACTTGGTGTTTTTTCCAAACAAAAGGAAATATATCGGTATCGGCCAAAATGAGTTGAAAAATATCGGCATAACGGCAAAAATCCAATATCGTGCATCCCTATTATTATTATTTGTGTCTGCTGTTATTGGATGTTTATCATCTTTTTTTTAGGATTTCTACAAATGCTGTACATTATAATGTTGTGATGCATAAATTCACTTGTAGCATACAAACAATTTATTTTCGTTTTGAGCTGCACAGTATGTCAGAATAAAATTTCTGGGGAAAAAATGCAGCGATTGATATATATATATATATATATATATATATATATATTTATTTATTTATAGTTATTTTCAAAGCTTCGAGACTTGGTGTTTTTTCCAAACAAAAGGAAATATATCGGTATCGGCCAAAATGAGTTGAAAAATATCGGCATATCGGCAAAAATCCAATATCGTGCATCCATATTATTATTATTTGTGTCTGCTGTTTTTGGATGTTTATCATCTTTTTCTAGGATTTCTACAAATGCTGTACATTATAATGTTGTGATGCATAAATTCTCTTGTAGCATACAAACTATTTATTTTAGTTTTGAGATGCACAGTATGTCAGAATAAAATCAATATTGGCTTAGTGTGATGCACACCCCATAATAATTATAGCCTATTATAATAATAAAATATAATAATATTTTTTTCATATCACAATATACTGTATATCACAGGAAAACAATGTCAGTTTTTCCCAATATTGTGCAGTCCTACAGGTTAATAATATCAGCCATAATATGCTAATAGTTATCAGTGTATCTCTTGATTCAAGTTCTTGAAGGGTTGTGTCTATAAATGTGTCTATTGCATCTCTTACGATAATGGAAAAATATGCGTGATTTAGTTTAATCGGATCCGGTTAAAAGTATTTGGATTCAGTTATGTCACCAACACAAACTGCCTCATTGCAGCAAAAATTCAGACAGAATCATTTGATGTCAGGTATGAACTCTTAAACTTCAATGTGATTTTGATGTACAGACTGCTGAGCCACACCATGAAGGACCATCTGGTGCGTGTAGCTAATGAGGCCGAGTTCATTCTGAGCCGCCAGAGAGCAGAGGACATCCACAAGCACGCGGAGTTTGAGGTGAGCACACACACACACACACACACTATCAGCATCAGTCTACAAGATTTCTTGTCTGTTGTCAGTGATGCTCCTAAAAGTTTTCAATAGTTGAAGACCCCATTAAATGGCTGGATGGACACCCTATGAATGTGTTTCAAAAATATTGATAGCTCTTGTTGCATTTTACAGGCTGTTGTCCTATCAAATGATGTATAAAATGAGAATACCATCTAATTCCACTTCCCACTGACTAGCAATAGTAGGTAGCAAATCATAATTCACGGCTGTGACATAAATAGCTATGTAAACTACTGTTCAAATGCTCAAACATCTTTTATGCTTACCAAGGCTGCATTTATTTGATCAAAAATACGGTAAAAGCTGTACATTTTGTGAAATATTATTATAGTTTAAAATATCTTTTTAATCTTAAATATAATTTTCTTTTTTTATATATATTTTGTAAAATGTAGTTTATTCCTGTGATGCAAAGCTTAATTTTCAGCATCATTACTCCAGTCTTCAGTGTCACATGATCCTTCAGAAATTATTTTAATATGTGGATTTGGTGCTCAAGTTACATATCTGATTATTATCAATTTTGAAAACAAATTAAGTTTTTACTGTCACTTTTGATCAATGTAATGCATCCTCGCTGAATAAAAATATAAATTTATTTTTAAAAAAAACTTTTGAATGGTAGTGTATAAAACGTACAATTCCTTCAATATGTCCTGCTCCAACTTAACAGGAAAAAAAAAGTCCAAGTCACTTCATTTCATGGGATCTTGAAGACTTGCTTCTAAATGAAGCAATAGCTAAATTTTCTTGACACAATGTGCAAACAAGCTACTTTCACTTTTTGCAGATATATTCTGTTTCAGGCTTGATTTACAATTTTAAAAACTGTTGTAAGATTTAATGAAATTGTTAAGCCCCGCGAGGATATTAAAAAAAAAAAGTTTTGTCTGTCTGAACTGAGAGGCTGTCAACGTGAGGGAGAAGAAATGTTTTCTTTTCAAACTGAACTTATATGGAAGAAGGTTTCAAGCTTTGGCTACAGAGATTGCGTTTGGCATGTATCTTACCAAAACATAGCAGCACAGTTGATTTATTCCTTATAGCACAGCCATGGGGCATTCCTCCACCGCTGCCCCACCAAACACGCACACACATCACCTCTTTTATCACTGCAGTCTCGCTTTCTCATTCCTTCCATCATTCTCCATTTCTGTCTACCTGCTTCTTTTCCCTCACGATTCCCTTCGGACTCATGTTCTGCCAGTTGTGCTCCCTTTGTGGGAGAATTTCACCAGTGACAGGAATACAGCACCTTCATTTCTGTCTTCCTTTCGTTTCCCGTCCCTCCCTCTGGTTCTGTCTGGCTGGACGTGACAGTGTAAAGGGGGAGTGGGCTCTGCTCTGTTCAACATCTCCCACCCTCCAGTTGTAAAATGTTATGCTTTGAGAAAGGTTCAAGGCACGGTCTCTGAACTGAGACTGGGAGAGGAAAACATTTGAAAGACAGTGTTAAAAGTAAACATGTAAAACCGGAGAAAGCGATCGTGTATCATGTCTGTGAAAGGTTCTGCAGTAGTCTGCTTTGTTAGGGTCATGTTTTGTATGTGATTGGGCCTGTACGCTTATTTTGGCAGCTTCCCTCAAACGCTTCACCCAGCGTCTCACCGTTTTCAGAAAACAAAGGAGTTCTGATTCATTATCAGCTCAGAGAATCAGAATCGCTTTATTCGCCACTGCAGGAGCAGAGTTGAACGCAGCTCAGTGTTTCTTGTACTTTAATTCAAGAATGGCATTGTCCCTCTGCTGAATCTGCAGAAGTTTGGTCCAATACAACTCACTACAGTCCTTATCAAATATACAGTTGGGAATTGAAATCAAGCTGCTAAATTTGACAGATTCTTTCTAACTAATCAGTTAAACTGATGGGCAAATGAATCAGTCTGACTTCCTCATTGAATCTTTCAGATGACTCACTCCGTAAACCGCAGCGTGCGTAATTATAATACATTATTAAGACTAATATAAGCTATCATTAAAACAGTTTAGGATTGATGAGATTTTTTTCATATTTTTTTTTAAGAAGTCTTTTATGTTCCCCAAGGCAAGTATAGTAGAAATGGACAGTGATATTGTGAAATATGATCATAATTTAAAATAATAAATCATATTTTTTTTACTATTTTAATATATTTTCAATGTAACAAAAATTTGTTTACTTATTTCTTTGTATTATTTTTTGTTTTTTAAAGATATATTTTGCTTTTGCGAAGACAGGAACATTCTAAAGTTTCTGTAACATTCTGTAATATTCTAGTGCTTTCTGCAACATTCCAGTCATACACTTCTGAAGTTTTGGGCGACTCACTTTTGCAAACTGTTTATGTCAAACTGTTGTTGTTAGCTCAGTATTATGCATGTAGCACGTCATTTTTATGCATGACTAATAACAGGTTAGCTTGTCAACATATTTTTTAGTTTTCATGAGCACTGTTAATGACACAAAAAAGTAATGTGATTTTCATATTCAGCATGTCAAACTTCATAAATATTTTAAATAAAAGCGAAACAAAACTTTTATAAAAATTAGTTTTGCAATGTTATTCCTGTGAATTTTCAGCATCCATTATTCCTGTATTCACGGTCACATGATCCTTCAGAAATCATTCTAATATACTGATTTAAAGGTCAAAAACATTATTTTAATCATTTATTTTAATAGATAAAATATACTGCTGATAGCCATGTGTTTATATGGGCTGGCGTCTCATTGCAACAGTAACACTCAACACTATAAGAGCGCCTGCAGGCGTGTGTCCTGTAAAACAGATGAGAGCTGGCAGTATTGCTCGAACATACCCCACTTAAACAAGCTTCCTTACCTCACAGTGACATTTAGAGGGAACCTCGGAACACTCTTCCTCATCATTCCCACTACCCCAAATTCCCAGGATTGGCCAAGTTCTCCCAGACGCTCAGTGGAAGACGGCCGCACACTGGGGACGTGCTTAGCTTTCCTTTTTCGCTCTAATTGGCCCCTCTGGTCCGATTCTTTCTGCTTTTCCAGCCTCACTCACAGCACGGTGGAGAATGTATTATTCTCACAAATACTGCTGGGTATTCTGCCAAATGCGGAAAAAATGCACAGATTATCAGTGCCAGGCACATTATATGGATGCCAAAAAATCTGCACAAAAAGCACATTGTTTTCTTATCATTTTACAGTCTTCAGTTACATATATTTATTTTTTGCGGAAAAAATGCACAGATTATCAGTGCCAGGCACATTATATGGATGCCAAAAAAACTGCACAAAAAGCACATTATGTTTTCTTATCATTTTACAGTCTTCAGTTACATATATTTATTTTTAAAAAATGAGGTGAAAATGTTGTGCAAGATTGCATGAATAAAAGGGCACTATACTATTTAATCCTCTACTTGAAATCTCACATAATGCTGTTCTCTGTGGAGCAGACGGTTTCACATGACTTAGGAAATCAGGTGCAATTATGCCATTTTTTGTCACTTTGAGTTTAAAGTGCTCCATAATGAAAGCCATATGCTGTGATGCTTCATTGACCCAAACTCTCTTTAATAAGAGAAACCGATGTTGGACAGACAGATGGCTGGGAATCTTTTGATTGGTTTGATGTACAGTAGTTTCTAGAGGCTAATAGGGCATGGATAGTTGGGTCACAGTTACTTGTGACGGTTATGGATCACACTTTGATTAGGGCCTAGATGGCAGCGTTTAAGTCAATACTTCCCAAACTGTGGGCCCATCTCATATAGCCAGGGTGTCCGTGGAAAATCGCTCAATTGTTTACAAAAATTAAACTGAAAAACTAGATACATCTGGAGACATAGTTGTCGAAGTGTATTTTATTTCCCACAATATGGCTTTTCAGTCACAGCACAGATTTCTCAAAAATCCATCTCAGCATTGAGTCCCTCGCTTAGATATAGTTGCTCCTCTGTGACCCCTGAAAAGCAGGGAGCCTCCGATAAGTGCAGCACTGATATTGCCGTATTGATTTTCCTCTATTCCGGCGCTTGCCATCTTCTCTGAGCCACCGGTTTCATTTTGCACGGCCACAATAAAAATAACAGGCCAGTGAAAGATGCTCCCGTGGGGATCACACTGCCTTTCCATCCTGAAGAGCAGTTTACACAGGATTTGGATGTTTAAGGGAACAACGTGAAATATGAGACATATGAGAACCAGAATGGATGGAGAAGTTTTCTTTTTGTTTCTCAATATTGTTTCGTTCACAAATTGCTGTGTAATGCTGTAGCCTTGACTACATTCAGAATGAGGAAGATTCACCTGTTAGTTGTCTGGGATCTACAGTTACTGTAGCAATATTAGAACGGGGCTCATTTTCTTTGAGAAGGTTAGGTAAATTTGTATTTCACATCTGTGTTTTTCTCATACAACCTACGTACAAATTTTGGAGAGAAGTACCTACAGTTTTTTTTTTTTGGCAAACTCAGGGGTCCTCTGAGAAATCGAATAATGCCTGGGTAGATATGTCTGTAATTATGGTATATTATTTTTTCCACATCACTTCTCATTTTACTTTGAACTTCTTTTGTTGAATATTGCAATTAAAGCTAAAAATTGTGCGACTTTCTTTATTGTTTTACTGCCTGATGCACCTACGATTTAGGATTTTGATTAATTTAATGAGTGAAATAAAAATCGAGGTACTGATAGCACACAATATATGCACGAATGAATGAATAATTAAAATAAAATAAGTAAATAAACCAGAATTAAAAGGTGAATAAAACAAATAAGTAAATAAAAACAAAAATGAGGGTACTATCGTAGACTGTTATATTAGTGACAAATTATAATAGTGTCTAAATTCCTTCTGATATACCTAATATACCAAATTATATTACATAAACCAGTTATATACCTAATGTTGTAATGTAATCATGAATAGGTCCTCTTTATTTCAATGGGTTGTCAATCCTGAGAGAAGACACTT